TCTGGGTCGTGCAACGCCGCGTTCCCCGTTCCTTCTGTCAGCCCCCATTGATCACCCTCCCCCAATGCGCCGCGCCCGGATCGCGGCGCCGGCAGAGGGCGCGGCAGCGGCGCCCGCGGCGCGGGCGCCGCGGCGCGCCAGCTCGGCGGCGCCTGCCTGACCAGGGCCGCAGCGGCCGCAGAGCGCACTGTGCGCGCGCGGGGCCAAGGGGGAAAAGGGGCGGGGAGAGGGGCGGGGGGAGGAGGAGGGGGAGGGGGAGGGGGAGGAGAGGAAGGAGGGGGGAGGAGGAGGGGGAGGGAGGAGGAGGAGGCGGAGGGAGGGAGAGGAGGAAGGAGGCGGAGGAGCAGGCAGGAGGAGGAGGAGGAGGGTAGAGGGAGAGGGGAGGGGGAGGGGAGGGGGGGGGAAAGAGGAGGCAAGCATACGACGACGTCGACGACGACGACGTCCCGCGCCACCCAGCCGCGCGGTCCGCGCGCGCGGGCAGCCGAAGATCGCGAACAGCTGCTCGCACAGCATCATGGGCGGTGGAAGGGGAGGCGCAGGACCACGGGGGGGAGGGGGCGGAGCCAGTGATTGGCATGGCAAGCAGCATAAATATTTTCAAGGATGGGGACGGCGCAATAACCAGGGATTCCAAGACGATCAAAGAAAGCCCACACAAAGGGGTTTCGAACGAAGGGCGACGGACACGGACCAATCGAACCTGGTGCAACACAAATCTTAACTAAGAGAGCCTGACTCGCGCGCACAGCCAAACAGAAAAACAGACAATTAAGCAGACCGCGCTGATGCAAAATCCAAGGACTGGCCCCCCCCCCCCCGCCCCCGACACCGCACAAAGCCAAAGCCAGGCCCAGGAGGGGGGGGGACCCCGCTCAAAACCTGGCGGGCGAACTCAATGTCCTCGCGATCGACCTCCGAGGCGCAAGACTGGAAACGCACGCGCATACGCTTCCTCAGCAGAGCAGCGGGGGGGCGAGAGCTCCAGCATTCAGCGCGCGCTACTTTCGCGGCCCACTGCGGCTTGAAGCTGTCAAGGGGGGCCCAGGAGCCCACGAGCTCTGGCGGCGTCAGAAGCGAGCACAAAAAGGGCTCCATGGCAGGCGGCGGCCAGATGCTCAGCGCGAATGAGATCCCAGTGCTTCGGCGAACGTAAACTTGCGGGGGGCACTGTCAGTCGCAGCTCGCCCATTAACTCTCGATTGTCACTCTGGCGGCACAGCAAGCGGAAGACTCGAGCGCGCCCTGAGAGAGTGCGAGTCACAGATAGTGCCATAGTCACCGCACTGAGAACATCCAAGGGAAGCGCTTCTGGCCCATGACACTCCGGGAAAAAACAATCCGCAGCCGGCGAAACTTCCAGAAGCGAGTCCGAAGAACGCGACAGACACCCGAGTTCAATCTGCATCAGCGAAGATGGCATCGGCGAGAACTGCATCACACAGCTAAGGACTGACACGCACCGCGAGCTAGACATAACTGCCGAGGGAGAGGCTGACGCTGGCCGCTTACCCGCGGAAGCGCAGCGAGAACGATATTTGGCAATCGGTTGCCCCCAAGAATGCGCCCCGATGCTCCCGGGCCAACCCGCGCCCCAGGATGAAACAGTTCGTCTTCGATTCGGAGAGAACACCAGGCTGGGATGCACCCATCATCTTGAGCTCGAGAATCAGGGGCCCAGGAGCGGGAACGACATGGCAAATCTCGCCGGCTGCAGTTTAAGATGAGCTACCTTCCCGCTAGATTCCTCGCGCGATAAAACTGCGCGAGACGCTTGATCATATTCAAGTGAAGGGGCCCAAGGACACACAAATAAATACACACAAATAACCGGATTCCCCAGATGTCCCCATATTTTCTGTGTTTCTGCCTCCCCGCGCACTGCCCGTATGTTCCATATTTTCTGGAGGATCGTCGATTAATTGTGTCTGCGTGGTTCTTCTCCTCCTGATCAAGACCCCTTCCAAAGCCACCTGCGCAAGCACGGTCGATGCCAAGCTGGCCGCTCTCGAAGCAGCAGCGGGGGATCCGCGCGGGCGGGGGGGGCGGAGGCGCGGCAAGGAAAGGGGGCCCGACAGCGCGCCCCCTTGGTGGAGATAGCTCCAGAGCGGATCTCTAGAACGCACGCAGCATATCCCCATGGGCAGCGACGGTAGAGGGAAACAAGTACTGAACACCCCCCCTCCCCCCCAAACCCAACGTTGGCACGCGCGGGGGAGACTGCGGTCGAAGTGCGCCTCATCAGACCCACCGCCAACTTTGAACAATGGGGGGGGGGAGTAGGCGTTGACAGATGAATGTGGCATGAGTGTTCGCTAATTTGTTCCGAAGCCTGGACCACCCCTTGGACGGCGCCATGCAGAATGCCAGCAAAACCAACTAGCGCCGTCGGGCCGCCCGTCTTCAACAGCGCTGACACGGCGAACTCCTGGGATCGACAGGGGGGGCATGCCCATCATCCACGGCGCGCAGCAGCGGGGCATCATCATCAACTTCCTGG